GTACCGTGAACCAAGAGAAGTACAGTATAATACAATGTGATCTAAATACAATATACTCATTGATTTTTTTTTATGATTTTGAATTGTTCTCCTTTTACTGATATTCGTGCAATATGGGGAAGATGACAGACAGAATGACCATCGTGAGAGCTTTTTTTTAAAGATCTGGGGAACGCCTGTCAACATGACATAATGTAATAATGAATAAAATATTTTTAAAAAATTATTATATAAATTTTAAAATGCAATAAAACCACTGAAGAAGGCTGAGTGATCGGTTTTCATATGTTTGTTCTTTTATCAATGAATTCAACCATCAATTTTTTTAATCAAACTTTATCCAACATGCACTGTACATAATCAAATGAAGTATGTCTTACAAAAGTCCTGTACTAGAATTAACAAACATTATAAAATGTTGTCCAGTAAAAAACACCTCAATCTCAGAGTAAATATCTATTTTAAGATGTGTGCGGGCAGTGACTTAAGCAATCGTTAATTCTCATGTCACACCCGTCAGTGGTAAAATATTTGAAAAAATAAACTGATAATCTGAAGATGGTAGGAACATATTAATGTATGAATTTGTTATAATAATTGTTGCATGAATTCATTCATAACAGTCTGAAAGCCTTACCGTTATATTATTTAATTATTTTACACGTGTAAGGATGATAAGCGGGATGATACTTTTAAATTATACATCTACGTGAATACAACATATCTTATATACGACTATTTATTAAATAATATACCATTGTGTTTAGACATTACAAAACTTGCGAAAAAGCGAAAATGCGAAGAGACGACGGATGGAATGCGAAGATACGACATATTTTATGTGTCGAATTTTCGCCCTCTTTCTGTCGTATATTCGCTTTGTTGCCTGGCATACAAATCAGAAAAACCGAAAACACGAAGAGACGACAAAGTTCACCTCCACCATTGTCGTCCCTTCGTGTTTTCGCATTTTCGAATTTTGAGGCGAAGGAGCGAAAAAACGACATGAGGTAAATCAGCCACCATAGTTCATGAAAATGGCCTAAAACAAGGTAACTCAAGATGTTGGACCGTAGCCCTATTTTATTCCGATAAAATTGTGTCATTTATGATTCTCTTTTATCATGCAAAGTTAAAGTAAATTCTGTTCCCTAGTTTAAAATTTCCTTCTTTGCCGATGTGGAGATGAAGAACCTATAGGAAACGTCTTTAATGACGATTTCTACATAGTTTTTAGAGGCATATTTACAGAATGTAACAACTGTTTTACATGATCCATATGATATAACAAAAACTTTTAAACCCAAAAAAGTTTTGGGCCAAGGGATTTCGCCATTTTAGTTATCTGCATTTAAAATTTGCGCGAGGAGGTAAATTCAATATATAGTGTCATGGGGCAGTTCGGGTTTGACGGGCATTTAGGGGTTAAAAATTACAAAATAAGATAGAAAAAAAGGGAAGGGAAAACAAAAAAGGATCATAAATTTTTCTGGACCGCTCGGGGAGCCGTTTTCTATTGTTTTTAAAGAATAAGGGACTTATTGTTTAATTGATGTTTCCCAGTTTTTTGAGGGTTAAAATTCTTAAAATCCTAAAAAAAAAAAAAAAAAAAAAACCAAAAAAAAAAAAAAAAAAAAAAAAAAAAAAAAAAAAAAAAAAAAAAAAAAAAAAAAAAAAAAAAAAAAAGGGTTCTACTTGGGGTGGGGGATGGGGAAGCTAAATATTCATGAAAACTCATGAAATCTCTTTAGGTTGGGAAATTTTATACCAATTTTTGGGTTTATCTTAACGGAATGGGCTTTCATTTATTTATATTTAACATTATTTGGAATGAGGCCGATAAAAGTAAACACATGTATTTATGTTCTTTATTTCAAATATGTTAACTGACCTAATTCAGTGATATATTAATTTAATTATAAATTGACTTTAAGTACACAGATTTTGATTAACCGACTTATTATAAAATACATAATTATATTGTTACATGTACGAGAGAATTCATTTGATTGTGTCACCATAGATCTTCAACTACGTTCCTCTCATTTCAACCCTTCGAAGTTTTTATTCCATTTAAAAATATACATTTTTCTAACCCATTTAAATTAAGCCTATGATGCAGAAAAGAAGTTTTCATAACTTTGCCACGTTTAACCAGAACACACTTATATAACTTATATATAACTTCGCCACGTTTAACCAGAACACATTTATGAGCATCTATAATGTAACGAATAATTGGCACACTCCTCTAAATATGGCTGCATGAATTTTTTATGTAATTATTCACCAGTTTTGACATCACAAGTTTTTTTGTAAAAAAAACCGCAAAAATTGGGTTTTAAACCCAATTGTTCATTAAAATATTAAAATTGCGATTTTCCCCCAAAGGGGTTTTTTTTCAAAACTGCTTTTTTGGTGTTTCCGTGCCTGTTTTTGTGTTCCCGGGCTCTAACATTTCATTCCTTTTAAACTTTCGTTTGTGGTTTGGGGGGGGGGGTTTTTAAATGTTTTTTCTTTTTTTTTTAACTTTTTTCTTTTTTTTTAATTTTTTTTTTCCGGGAACAAAAATGAAAAAATGTCTTTTTCATCAAAATTTAATTTTTGTAACTTTTTTTCAACAAGCTCCCAGTAAGGGCAAAACAATATAGGGTTTAATTTTTAAAAAAATTATAAACTGAAATTTAAAAATTCTTATTTTAAAATTTCCCAAAAACCAAAGTGTTTGTTTTCAGACAATTAGCCAAATGATGATTCGGGGGGCCCAAAGGGACCAATTAAAAAAACCCCCAAATTTAAAATTCTTAAAATTTTAAATATAAAACTTTATCATTTTTTTTTGTTTTAATGATAAAAAAAAAAAATAAACCTTTTTATCAATGATATCCCCTTTTTTATTTTAAACTTTTTTTAACATACATACTTTTTATTTCAATATTTGAATACTTTTGTGTTATCAATTTTATTTTTTTCAGGCTTCATTTTGTTTTATGTTTTACTTTAAATTTTCCCGGGATCACTCCCAAATCGTGAAAAGTTGTCCAAGGTAAAGGGGTTAAAAAATTTTTAACTTTAAAAGGTTTTTCTAAAATATTAAAGCTCAGCCTTGTTTAACCCAGTTCGTGGAAATCCCTTCATAGAAATGTCAGAAAATATAAAGTTAAACTTTTTCAGGTGCATGTCATATTTGTTAAACATTCAAACATTTTTTCATAAATGCCGTTCACAATATCTTTGGATGCCTTTCAATCTTTAGTATAGATACATAATAAACATGATCTGTCCTTGCTTCAACCTGTAACATACATGTTGAAAACTTTTCTCCACTTTGTTGTGTCGTTTAAGATTAGAAAATAAGTATTATCTTTTCTCTCCTTGTTGTGTCGTTTTAGATAAAAGTTCAAGTATTATCTCCCCTTGTTGGTCTTTTGAGATGTTAGTGCAAGAATATTTTGTCAAGGTGTTTTTGAAGATTAAATTAAACGATGAAACATCCCCCGTAAGAAAAATATCAATGCTTCTTTTCGTCTGATCAATTTATTTATCTTATTGTTTCGAGCAAGAGTAATGTGATAGCTTTTAACGTAAAATATTCAAAAATGTTCAATCTTTTTCAAAACAATTTATTTCGTAAAACAAAGGGTTTCCCCCATGAATTAAAGTTGGTTTTCCATTATTTTTAATTTTAAAAAGAAAATGTTTTTAAAAACCTTTTGATTCACCAAAAAATAATTCGTGAAAGAGATTTTTTTCAACAATTACCCCAAAAATTTTTAATGGGAAAAAGGGAAGATTTTGGTTAAAAAATTTAATTTAAACCATGTTTTTCCATTAAAATAGAATTTTTTTAAAAAAAATTAATTTCAACCAGGGGTAAATTTTAAAATGAAAAAATTTTTTCGGCTTTTTTTTACCATTTAATTTTCTTTAAAGAGATTGTTTTAACCAATTTAATTTCCAACAAAAATAAATGTCAAAAAAAGGAAAATTTTTAAAACCCTTTAATTCACATTGGTTGTGTTTTAATTTTTAAAATTTTAAACCTTTGTTCCCCAAATTAATTGTCGAACAAGAATGTGTTAAAACCTTTAAATTCCCAAATTTTTTGTAAAATAGATTTTTTAAAACCATTCTTCACCAATAGTAATGTTCAAAAGAGATTTATTAAACCATTATTCACCATGGTGTGTCATAAAATAGATTTGTTAAACCATTATTCACCATGTAATGTCGAACAAGAGATTTGTTAAACCACTAATTCACCATATAATGTCGTGAAAGAAATTTGTTTCAGGCAATAATTCAACATATAATGTCGAACAAGAGATTTGTTAAACCATTTATTCACCATGGTGTGTCATAAAATAGATTTGTTTAAACCATATATTCACCATGTAATGTCGAACAAGAGATTTGTTAACCATTAATTCACCATATATGTCGTGCAAGAAATTTGTTCAACCATTAATTCACCATGTAATGTCGTGCAGGAGATTTGTTCAACCATTAATTCACCATGTAATATCGTGCAAGAGATTTGTTCAGGCATTAATTCACCATAAAATGTCGAACAAGAGATTTGTTTAAACCATTTAATTCACCATAAAATGTCTGCCAGGATTTGCCTTCAAATTAAGTTATAACCATATAATGTCGTAAAAGAGATTTTGTTGTTAAATTAATTCACCATGGTGTGTCATAAAGAATTTTTTAAACCAAGAATTTCACCATATAATGTCGTACAAGGGAGATTTGTTCAGGAATTTATTCACCATAAAACGTCGTACAAGAAGAATTTTTTTCAACCATTAAATTCAAAACATTAATTGTCGAAACCAAAGATTTTTTTAAACCATTAAATTACCATGGTGGTCATAAAAGGATTTCGTTAAACCAGTTAATTTCCCATATTAAGTCGTTGCAAGAATTTTGTCAACCACTGATTTCACCATTAATGTCGTAAAAAGAGATTTGTTTAACCAAATTCAATTCCCATGGTGCGTCATTTAAATGAGATCTGTTAAACCATTAATTCACCATGTAATGTCGTGCAAGAGATTTGTTCAACCATTAATTCACCATATAATGTCGTGCAAGATCTTTGTTCAACAATAAATTCATCACATACTGTCGTAAAAGAGATTTTTTAAACCATTAAATTCACCATATAATGTCGTGCAAGAGATTTGTTAAACCATTAATTCACCATATAATGTCGTGCAAGAGATTTGTTCAACCATTAATTCACCATATAATGTCGTGCAAGAGAATTTGTTAAACCATTAATTCACCATGGTGTGTCATGCAAGAGATTTGTTCAACCATTAATTCACCATGTTGTGTCGTAAAAGAGATTTGTTAAACCATTAATTCACCATGTTATGTCGTGCGAGAGATTTGTTCAACCATTAATGCACCATGCAATGTCGTGCAAGAGATTTGTTTAACCATTAGTTTAGTTAACCATGGTTTGTCGTACAAGAGATTTGTTCAGGCACTAATTCGTGCGAGAGATTTGTTCAACCATTAATTCACTTTGTTGTGTCGTGCAAAGAAAAAACATAAATGATATCTACACCTTATTTTGTAGAGAAATATTCCAACATTTTTATAAAATTCTATAAAATGCTTTGTCTTGTAAGATTAATGGTCACAGATTTTGGGAAAAAGAAGTTTCATTTCCACAAATCTTTAAAACTATTGGTACAATTGTAATAATCAATGTTATTAATTAAGAAGCAGAGAAGAAATTCGTCGAATGCCCGTTGACTAGTATAAAATGTATACACTATTTACAATTCCGTATTATTTAATTTTTGTGGGGGAACCAAAAAAAAACACATTATTATAATTATTGTATTTACTTGAGCTTTCAAGGAGGCTGATAAAATATGCTCTGATAAAAAAAACCTTCATTTTGTTCTAGAAATATTTAATTTATCATTATCTTACATCTATACATCTAAACAAATTAACATTCACGGTTATTCTAATTAACAGAAAAATGACAGATGGAGTAAAAAAAATCACCGTACATTATAATCCTACTTAATTGCAATAAAATTAGTTTCTTGGTGCCTGTCTCTTTACACCGTGCTGTTGTTATTTTAATATATCACCGACAGTAAGTTAAAGTACATTTTGCTGTTGTAATATGAAAGTGAAAAATAATAGAGACAATTGTTGACAGGATATTACAATGAATGTTAGGGTTTATTTTTATAGGTGTCAAGTTTTTCGTGTGTACGTTTTAACAAGCGTGGTAACTGAGAGTCATCCATTGGCCTACAGTAAGACAATAGTTCCATGATATTACATTGGTTGTAACAACATTCACATACAATTCCTGTCGACACATATGATACTCGTTTCTGTAGGTAAGTATTGGCATCCTCACGATTCATCAAAATATCCGGATACTTCTTGTCTAGTTCTGAAAATAAAATATAATAAATAATTGTTTGTAATATTATATATCTAGTAAATAGTTTTGACCGATTGAAATACAATACACGTACAAGACTTGTTAATATGTCGTGTTAAATTTCTTGCAAAAGTTCATGTAGAAGAATAATTAAAGATTAGTATTAAAAAGGATACTATTATCTTTAATTAATGCTATTATATTACATTGCTTTATCATTAATATGTTTAAAGTATTTTATTATGTTTCGTTGTTGAATCACTTCGTATCTGAACTTGTTAATCAAAGTTTATTGTTTGTAGTAAAACACATGTACAATTACCATTTGATGCGTCACGTTTTCTTTTAATGAAAGGGTATAACTCATTGTGGCCATTGGCGCACAGAAGCCCTAGCAACTCGTCAATTCTGTTTCCACAAATTCCAAACTGATGTGGACCATTTTCAAATGTCCTAGGTGTGCACTCTTTATCCCCTAACGAGTTAGCAGGTAACGTTGACGAGAGTAGACACATTGTTATCATGTACAATGTTTCAATCAACATTTTCTGAAATATAGAAAAAGAAAATTAAATAATTAACCAGTAGGTTACCGATCATATTCTGACAGTAGTTATCTAGATGTATTTTGTTGAACTGGAGACAGTTGTAAATAACTAACATACCAAATATTTGTATTTTTTATTGAAATACATGTACACAACTCTTGTTGAATTTTTGTTTATTATGATATCACATGGCTTCATGTATTTATCCTTCGCCATACTTTACCATAAAGTATGTCCTGTTAAAGATTTCAGTAGTTTGAACTAGATATTGTTTGAGTAAGAACACAGTGAAAAAGGATTAACAAAATACCAAAATTAGAGAATCTCAGATTATCACGACGTATTGCACTATATTATACCTCATTTGCATACGCCCTACTATATTCAATATGACGTCATCCGGTTCATAAACCGCATACAGGACCGGGGGCGGTCCATAATTCTTATATGGACTGCATGGATGTCGTCATATTAATTATAGAAGGGCGTATGCAAATGAGGTATGATATATTCAATTATTTACACAGAAAAACGAGAAAATAACAATTAAAACCTTCCATTTTTAACATTCCATTCCAACAATGGGCATTTATATCAAACTTAATATTTGTTATTATACCACTTCCTCATAAATTAATATGTACCATCTAGTTGCCTTACTATGTATGTCACTGCAGCGGCAATTATGTAATCGCTTGTTAATTAAACTTAATGTACATGTAATGTTTTTACGTGTAAGTCGAGTGATAATTATATAAATTATGTGTGATTTACTCAGCTCGTTTATACATTTAACATAACCATAATTCACACAGTGTGCTCTAGTAACTTACAACTTCCTGCTCTGAATCGTTTCAAGTTGAATTGTCTGTCATTTTAATAATTAAATTGTTAAAACAGGTTAGATATTGCCTTGCTTATTTTAAAATTATTTACGATCACTTTAAAATAGATCTGTGATTTACATACTTTTTGTTCAATAGAGATTTTTTTGTGGTTGAAATTATATTTTGTCGAATGATATACGTTCCATTTTTTTAAAAATAGTAGTTCAATTATTAATGCGGCACAAACATGTCAACACTCCCGTTAAATCAGGGTATCATATTGAACTGTGTATAGCTTTAAAACACAGTGAAGTCAGCTTTAATTCTATTCTATTAAACGTGTTTCATTTTTTTCATTTATGGATATAACAATAACATAGAATACAGATTATCATGACGTATTACAGTGTAGCGTCACAAACCGAGTCTGAGACATTTTTTTCCCTTTTCAGATTTCGTTTTCTCTTTTTTCCCCGTCACATCAGCATTGTTTTTGCTGTGCGGAAGCCGTAAAAAGTCGCCCTGTACATTCAATCAGAGATGTTAAACTAGTATTTCAGATCCTTGAAGATCGTTAAGCACAACATTTGTGTAGTGTTTATGGTGATTGATTTTAGTTCATTTTATTTGAACTAGGTTTCAATCACTACTAGACACCGTCTATGCATTTTAAATTTTACCGCCTTTGACATCCTTTCCTTTTCTCTATTTTATCTAATTTATTGAAGTTTTTTTTCAGTACGGACTGTCTATTTTATTTAGATTGTAAAGAAGTTCTTTCAAATTATCTTATGATTCTCCGAATTAATACTCGCAACGCCTTCGTATGGCCTTTCACGTATTTCGAACATTGCAAGTAGAAAGTCTCTAAGCTGAAGCAGGAGGACCTTCTACTGTGTCCTGTTAGGGCATTGCGACACACACACAACTCGTAACAACGAAATGGTGAAATGTCGAACTAACAAAACCACGATGGTGAAAATTAAAAAAAAAAACGATAATGAAAAGTCGAAAGTACGATGGTGAAAAGTCAAAATAAGGAAACCACAATGGTGAAAATTCGATATAGGTTCGTGTTTTAATCTTCGTACTTTTATTTATTTACCATCGTGGTTTCGTTATTTTGACCTTTCCACTTTTCATCATCGTGTTTTGCACTTTCCCCCATCATTTTTTCGCCTTCCTGTTAAGCATGCATACTGAATGACAATCTATATAAAGATGGCACCGGTAAATTTATGCTGGGTCTTAAGTCACGATATAAGAAAAGTGATGCTTCCGCTAAAGAAACATTAAATACTCAACTAATAGACACACTGTTACGAAATACTGATTAAACTTATAACATCTGAATGAAAATCAAATTGGAACAAAACCGTATTTAACAATTTTTACGGTATCAATCATTGTCTTGATGTATTACATTATCTATCTCTTTTGATCAAGAAAACACTTAAGTTACAGATCTCCATCTTTGAACAGGGGATGATGCTCCATTTTTGTATACAGTACCTTGTAATGAATACTTCACCTCCTAACATTTTCTTAAATGCCATGATCTTGCACAGGTTCGTGAAAGGTTTTATCACTTACAGAACCTTTCAACTCAATCCGAAACATTGAAAGATTACTGAAAGGAATAAACTTACTTACCCATTTTGTAAACTTTCACTAACTCACTTTCAGCATAATGTTAATTTAAGTGTACGGGTAATGTGTCAATGTGCCGTTAAACGCAAATAAACAATAATGAAGTATTGCAATGTGACGTCACTTTAAAGCTCTTTAACCTTAACTTTAACCTTATGTTTTCTGGAAAGTATTGTTTTACAAACCTTAGCAATGTTAGAATTTTCAGTGTGTATTTTTGTCAACGTGAACTGAAAAATTAATAAAATACCGTCATTATCATGTAGTTTTCAAGGAAAATTATGACGTTAATCACACGTACTGTTGATATTTACGTTATCATCATAACCGTGTTAATAGATGATAAACGTCAACTGAACTTATCACTTTATTTAATAGCTCTATCACATTAGTTAAATGATACAGTAATACTGCTTTTCACAAAAAATGCTTGCGTTTGCGCATCTGTTTCATTGCATCCTGTGAACGTTGCCTTTGCCTTGTTGATCTTCATTCTCATTTTTTAAAACAGAAATCACTGTAATTTTCATATAATACTTAAATGACATGCTTACTTTTTCAAGTCATATTTCAACAATAATTTTTTTATGAATCACTGTGTACCATAAAAATCACAGAAACTTGAAATTATATCAGTCCGATTTTTTGTCAAATACCATGTATCAGAATAGAACAGAAAACTTAAATATTACAAACTTGTTGTCCTCTATCATTGCATAATTAATTTCCGATAATATATAGAATACATTACAATACAAAACATCAAAAAGTGTTTGTTTCTTCTTTTTAAATTACATAGTTTTCATCACTAATTTTCACATTTCATTATAATAGGACCCTTTATAAAAGTTTTTAAAAAAATCTTAATTTCTCTTTTTTAACTAATTTGACCATTTTTAAATAATGTTTACTACCACCCCGTTATTTTAAGTGTTATTATTTTTAGCATTGACAAAGTATGATCATTTTTCAAAATTTTCTAACCCTTTTTTTAATATTTCTGTGGTATTTATCTATCTATCTTTTGTTCACTATTTTTTGAAGACAACTTACGAGGAAAGACCAGCCACATACTTCAGTTGTACTCCGCAACAATAAAAGAACAGTTAAAAGAAATCAGTGTAAAATAGGTATAAATAACACAATTATTCTTAATTCAATGGGGGAACAACAATTTAATAAATGTATTTGCTGTATTTTTTATATCAAATAATTTATACATAATATATGAAAGCACTGTAAGTATTGGAAATAAGAGAATCATTAGAAACGGAATATTGACGCTGATAAAATGGTACAATTTCCGGTTATTGTTTCTCTACAAACTTTAATTAACACAAACATCAAGTTTCATTTAGCTTTATTTTATTCATAACTGTTAGACTGATATATAATATAATTTTTGCATCATTTCAACATAAATAGGCAAGTGATTCTACAAGTTAGAACGATATACAATTTTCTGAAATTGCCTCGTCGATTTTAAATAGAGTTCAATCTTATTAATAGATGAGTAAGCGTATAAAACAAATCAAACATGGATATGGGCCTGAAAAAATATCAGTTTGATTATAATCTCTTGTGCTGGACTTATTTTTATATTATATTACGGTCAATTATAATGATGATTAATGGTATGTAAACTAGGCCTAATAAAATCACTCTCGGTCATACAATACAAACGATTATTTTTAAATATGGATAAAATATACATGTATGTCCAATTTACATAGTATACATTTTTGAAATACGTGCACATTTCATTAAAATATATATGTTGTTCATGTATATTTCTTTAAGATTCTTTGTAAGAAATGAAATTTCGGCCTCAAAAATGGTCAAAAGTACATCGTAACTGTGGAACTTGTAAGAGACGTAATTTTAACACAGTATCATGTCTTGGTTGAGAGTCAAAGTTTACTTTCATTCAATGTTTTATATCAATATGTTATTGTTTCGTGCTAATATAGAAGGAGAGAGACGTAGAGAGGGTGATGTACATAGATAGGGACAATTTATTACGGAAATGTATTAGTCATTACGAGCATCAATATTGTATTTAACTCGGGTTTCGTGTATGTAATCAAGATGCATTCAGATAACTTTGTTATGTCCGCTTCCTTCGTTTACTTAATTGTAAAGAAGATACAAACATTATGCTCAATCAGAGACTATATCCATTAAACTCTAAGAAGCCTCTCCTTCAATATCGATAATTGCCAAGATAGGACTGTTAAATACAATTTAAAGCAAAAAACATACATTATTAAAATTACTGAATTATAAAGTTACCCGCTAATCAATTCATGTTGAGAAAGACAACGAGATATTCGAAAATGAATTCTTTAAAAATGTCACAGAATTAGGGATACATATAAATATTTTCAACACTTTTTGGTGTTCAAATTACATTGACTTTATCCGCATTTGGGCCACTTTATTATTATTATTATTATTATTATTATTATTATTATTATTCCTGGAAAGCACGCTTACAGGATTGATTTAAGAGACAAGCCGGTTTGCAAATACAATAACCAAAACGTTCTACATAATCCAAGAACATACGTGATCAAAGAGCAAATCTGTTCAACATGATCTAAGAGCAAAGACGTTGAACATAATAAATAAAACAGTCTGGATGATCCAAGACTGTCAACATATTCCATGACACCGGGTAATTGACATCACCAAAGGGACATATTGAATGATGTTGGTATCACAAACATGATATGATACCGCGAGAAGTATGTATACGTATGTTGTGTGCTACATATAAAAGCACAACTCTCTTTCTTGTTAAACAACTAAGCTGGTGATGTTTTTAAAGTTATCTTTGAGTTTATAAATTTACATACTTATTCTAAATAATGTGTGGGAATAATATTTCTTTGTTCAATTCATACGTGTAATGATCATAATTTCGTGCATTACCAAAATATCCTTTGAAGAGAACATTTAACAAGAAATTCAAAGGACTTTTATTTACGGCGACTGAAATTAAATAAACAAGTTGCACTGTTTTGTATTAAAATGCGAAATTATTCTAATACCGTTAATGGTGGTTATCTATCTATATAATAAAAGAAACATAATAACAAGATCTACGGTGCTGCATTTTTAAAACCGCATCTCTACCCTTTCTTTATTCATTCCGTAAAGGAACTCAAACAAAAAAGAATGGATACATCGATATGATATTGTATTTCAATTTAACCTTGCAAAGTTATTGCATTATTTTAATAGTGTGTTGAAGTGTAAATCTTTAAAGATATAAAATTGTTTATTATTCACTCACTTATTATTATGTTTTTTTACAAACCGAAAATAAGAATGACAAAGCCGTTGAAGGATTTTCAAATTTTAGTTTTTTGGTGGCATTTGTCATTTGATTCTTATTATCCCTATTCTGAATATGAATATTAGATTTTTTTATAATTAACAGACGATTGTTTAATCAAAACAGTATAGTAATATTTCGTGTTTTCGAGTGTAAACTTTAGATATATAACTGAAATCTAAAATAATTCAAAAGAAATAAGAAATGCGTTTTTTTCTGTCGCATGAAATAATATCACTATGTCAGGAATCACACTTTATGACGGTGTTGTGAGATATTTGACCTGGTAGCGATTTACTAGTAAATTATTTCTTTGAATAAGCTATTGATATTCAATCAACCAATATATTGTATGTGATAAATTTAATTATATCCTTGATAGCTATGTGAAGAAAGGTGTAAAAATCAACTTACATAAAACAGATAAAAATAACATAAATAATCATTGACAAATATTGAGTTTTAAAAAGGAAAATTTCTTTATTTTATTATCAATTATGCAGAAGTATTCCAATAAAAATCTTTTTAAAAAATGCTTGTAATGTGTTTTATCGAATTTTTTTTGGATAGAATATATAGAAATGCCATTTTGTTATATTCTTATAAATTTAATTACAGGTAAAATGGTCCGTATTGTAAAATACTTAGAGAAAATGGTCACGTATTTTACAATAATTTTAACTAAAATTTTACTACATTATAATGTATACAAGTCGTTTGGTTATGAATGAGGAACATTAAGTTTTCATTGGTTTAAATATTGAAAATCGTTAAAATTGCTATTCGTTTATTATAAATAATGACTTTAATGTTATATTCTAAAGTGTTAATGATGGTTCTGTTCAATGCTGGCATGGTGATAAGCAAACAAGTTATGTTTGATATGTATGCATTGATGTGAAAAAATTCGTTTATAATTCGACAAGTTATTAAGAGTACTTTATTATAATAAATAAATGAATTATCATCATCAATATATCCTTAATCTTAATCCTAAATATATGATTTATTATCAGTTCAGTGTACTTTATCATTAAGAATGTTCATGCAAGCGTTTTAATTATACAGGATATGTGTTATATGTGTGCACTGTTATAATTAAGATGTCTGTGGTTTTAGATTATTCTGTGCTGTAATATTGTCAACACGTCATAAAGTATACCCGCTTCATATCTATTATCATGAACAAATGGACATTCTAAATTGAATTTACCGAAAACTAATTTAATACTTGTATACACACAACGCAAGTATTATTGAAATCAAAAGATATTACTGGTTACAGACAATATTTATCATAATTACAGAAAGAAAATAACATACCATTCTTTAAATAGTTGAAAGTCCGTGTACAAAATTATAATATCATTATATCTTTGAAATTGTTTAAAACGTTATCCTCACCAAAATCGGTAGTTGAGCTGTAGTCCACGCCAGCGTCCCTGTTACACACCTTGACTACGTCTAGTATTGTACCGTCGACATTCACAGAGACTGAAATATATAATGTGCCGCAGTTATATATGACGAGAATCATGACGCCAGTGTCAGAGGTAAAATGTAGATTTTCCAATAATGGTAAGTATTTGACATATTATGAAGTCCTATATGTTGAGAAGACCTAAGAACTGTTACTAATATCCGACAACGGATACATACAGGCTTGGTAAAAGACAACACTTAATCTGACTTCGTGGTAAAATTATTATCAATATATATATATAGGGACTCACCTTATATAAGGATATATACCCTGTACTTTTCAGTGTTTTTAAAGGTGGGGAGATGGTTGACAAATTAATTAATAGTCAAGGATATTCATACATAGTTGTTGTCAACTAGAAGAAAGTGACGTCAAGATGTTGCGCTCTTCCTAACTATTGAAATGATTAAATAAATATTTTTCATGATGTATGCATGAATACTATAAAAAACATGCCGATGATATTTTTTAAATTCTTGTTTTATTCAAAATATTGAACAAAAATAGTATTCTTAACATTTTTCACATGGCACAATATTTAACACATTCAACGTGCATATCCAGTAACGCAGGAATGTGCAAATAACGTAAAAGTAACGCCGAATCTGTGCAATGCTAATTGCCAAAACGAATGACACAGTAAGTAAATAAACTAAAATATTTTATTCTAAATCAAATTTAAAGAAATGAATTAGCGCACATGTCTGCGACGACATTATACTTTAAAAGAATCAGCATTACATTTTTTATCTGGAATATGTTTACTTTTTAGATTATTCGTGAGAAAGACAACCTGATTACCGTTTTGAAGGTGACGTTTGTGTTTCGTCAAATAAATATGTACATTAAACGCATTTAAAACATTATATTTTCATATTCTGTTTATCTAAGACATTTGTCAAACTACAAGTGTCGTAAAACAATAGAAGAAATGCTGGTTAAATAAAATTTAGCTACTTTTAATGAGATTCAGTTGCTTCAGTGTTCGGCGTTATCTCGTAACAATGGTCTCGATTATGTTTTATCTGCTAAATAAGTGTAATATGACACGAGTAGATCGGAAAATGTCTCAGGTACACAGAATATAAAAAATCATAAAATTATATCTTTGTAACTGTATTTAAAGATATCAACGACACTAAAAACCGCGATCAATACGCTTGTCAGGTCGTCATTTTCACGAATGATCTTGAGAAATAAACATTTTAATGGAAATATATTTAAGAGTTTTAAAGTATAATGTCTCAGCAACCGTATGCGCAAATTTATTTCTTCCAATTTGACAATTTACTTATCGCGGTGCTCGCTTTAGCCACTAAATTGCACAATTCCTGCGTTACTTTTGCACAATTATGTTCATACTGTTGATGCATAAATTATGTTCATTCTGTTGATGTATCATGTTTATACTGTTAATGCATTATGTTCATACTGTTGATATATAATGTCCATAATGTTGATGCATTATGTTTATACTGTTGATGTATTATGTTCATACTGTTGATATATAATGTCCATAATGTTGATGCATTATGTTTATACTGTTAATGCATTATGTTCATACTGTTGATATATAATGTCCATAATGTTGATGCATTATGTTTATACTGTTGATGTATTATGTTCATACTGTTGATGCATTATGTTCAAACTGTTGATGCATTATGTTCATTCTGTTGTAGTATTATGTTCATACTGTTGATGCATTATGTTCATACTGCTGAACTGATGCATTATGTTCTTACTGTTGATGAATTATATTAATTATGTTAAAGTATTATGTTCATACTGTTTATGCATTATGTACATACTGCCGATGCAGTATGTTCATACTGTTGATGCTTTATGTTCATTCTGTTGAAGTATTATGTTCATTCTGTTGATGCTTTATGTTCATTCTGTTGAAGCATTATGTTCATTCTGTTGATACATTATGTTCATACTGTTGCTGCATTATGTTCATACTGCCGATGCAGTATGTTCATACTGTTGATGCACTATGTTCATTATGTTGAAGTATTATGTTCATTCTGTTAATACATTATGTTCATATTGTTGCTGCATTATGTTCATACTGCCGATGCAGTATTTCATACTGTTGATGCACTATGTTCATTCTGTTGAAGTATTATGTTCATTCTGTTGATACATTATGTTCATACTGTTGCTGCATTATGTTCATACTGTTGATGCATTATGTTCATACTGTTGATACATTATGTTCATATTGTTGCTGCATTATGTTCATACTGCCGATGCAGTATTTCATACTGTTGATGCACTATGTTCATTCTGTTGAAGTATTATGTTCATTCTGTTGATACATTATGTTCATACTGTTGCTGCATTATGTTCATACTGTTGATGCATTATGTTCATACTGTTGTTTATACAATTGATGCATTATGTTCAAACTCTTGATGTATAACGTCCATACTGTTGATGCATTATGTTCATTCTGTTGAAGTATTATGTTCATACTGTTGATGCATTATGTTCATACTGTTGATGCATTATGTTCATACTGTTGATGTATTATGTTCATACTGTTGATGCATTATGTTCATACTGTTGATGCATTATGTTTATTCTGTTGATGTATTATGTTCATACTGTTGATGCATTATGTTCATTCTGTTGAAGTATTATGTTCATACTGTTGATGCATTAAGTTTATACTGTTGCTGCATTATGTTCATACTGTTGATGCATTATGTTCATACTGTGGATGCATTATCTTCATTCTGTTGATGTATTATGTTCATACTGTTGATGCATTATGTTCATACTGTTGATGCATTATGTTCATACTGTTGATGTATTATGTTCATACTGTTGATGCATTATGTTCATACTGTTGATGCATTATGTTGATGAGTATTGTTGTGCATATACTGTTGATGCATTATGTTCATACTTTTGATGCATTATATCATACTTCTGCATGAAGTATTATGTTCATACTGTTGTGATGCTTTATGTTCATATTCTGTTGAAGTATTATGTTCATTACTGTTGATGCATTATGTTCATACTGTTGATGCATTATGTTCATTCTGTTGATGTATTATGTTCATACTGTTGATGCATTATGTTCATACGTTTGATGCATTATGTTCATATTGTTGCTGTTTAATGTTCATGCTGTTGATGTTAAATGTTCATACTGTTGATACATAATGCTCATTCTGTTTATTTATTATGTTCATACTGTTGATACATTTTGTTCATACTGTTTATTGTTTAATGTTCATTTGTTGAAGTGTTTATGTTCATACGGTTTATACATTATGTTCAGTATTACATTATGTTCATTATGTTGATACATTATGCTTCATACTGTTGATGCATAATGTTCATACTGTTGATACATTATGCCTCATATGGTTGATGCATTATGCTTATTCTGTGAAGTATTATGTTCATACTGTTGATGCATTAAGTTTATTACTGTTGCTGCATTAATGTTTATACTGTTGATGGCATTAATGTTCATACTGTTGGATTGCATTATCTTCATTCTGTTGATGTATTATGTTCATACTGTTGATGCATTATGTTCATTATTACATTATGTTCATACTGTTGATACATTATGCTCATACTGTTGATGCATTATGTTCATACTGTTGATGCATTATGTTTATACAATTGATGCATTATGTTCATACTGTTGATGCATTATATTAATTCTGCTGAAGTATTATGTTCATACTGTTGATGCTTTATGTTTATTCTGTTGAAGTATTATGTTCATACTGTTGATGCATTATGTTCATACTGTTGATGCATTATGTTCATATTGTTGATGTTTAATGTTCATGCTGTTGATGTTAAATGTTCATACTGTTGATACATAATGCTCATTCTGTTTATTATGTTCATACTGTTGATACATTATGTTCATACTGTTATTGTTTAATGTTCATTCTGTTGAAGTGTTATGTTCATACTGTTTATACATTATGTTCAGTATTACATTATGTTCATACTGTTGATACATTATGCTCATACTGTTGATGCATGATGTTCATTCTGTTGATATATTAGGTTCATACTGTTGATGCAGTATGGACATACTGTTGATGTATTATGTTTATACTGTTGATGTATTATATTCATACTGTTGATGTATAATGTTTATACAATTGAAGCATTATGTTCATACTATTGAAGCATTATGTTCATACTGTTGATACATTATGCTCATTTTGTTGATGCATTATGTTTATACTGTTGATACATTAAGTTCATACTGTTGATGTATAATGTTTATACAATTGAAGCATTATGTTCATACTATTGAAGCATTATGTTCATACTGTTGATACATTATGCTCATTTTGTTGATGCATTATGTTTATACTGTTGCTGCATTAAGTTCATACTGTTGATGTATAATGTTTATACAATTGAAGCATTATGTTCATACTGTTAAAGTATTATGTTCATACTGTTGATGTATTATATTCATTCTGTTGATACATTATGTTCATACTGTTGATGCATTATGTTCATATTCGTGATGTTTAATGTTCGTGCTGTTGATGTTTAATGTTCATACTGTTGATACATTATGCTCATTTTGTTGTTGCATTTGTTTATACTGTTGATGTGGTATATATGTATCGTTGATGTCTTTTGTGTATACTGTTGACGCATTATATTCATACCATGTTTTATTAACACTGCAAATTAACATTTTTTACAAATGCATAGAATAAATGTGTTTCTTCAATTTTGTCTTCTGTCGTTTATGAATATTTAAAATGATTTTTCTGGAGACCGACATCAAATTTTAATAAGATTTTTAATAGGTCTTCCTCCACTAGTAAAGCTGGTACGTCCCATATGACCTATATTGTACGTGTTTGGGGAAAAAGCATACTAACATTTCCAAGGCTGAAGATAAAAATATGTATAATGTATGACCTGTTATATCATATAAAAACACATGATATAGTTCACTTACATTTATAATGACAATTTATTC